CATTTACATAATCGGGAATGTCCTTATTAAAATATTCTACATCTCACAACAAATACTTTAGCTATTTGACCAACGATGTTTAAAAAATTTTTACAGAATCAATCTAACGTCAACTTGCCTTTATTGAATGGAGACAGACCGGCGGAATCAATGTTCAATGTGCTTTATATCTTGTACCTTTGTAAGACTTATCATTCATTCATAAACCATGTCTATACCGCAGACATATATATACATATAATTATATGTCTGTCTTAACTGACAAGAATACTCCTGGTTTTACACTAGTAATTTGTTGGGGCCCTTTATAGCTTAATTGCTGTTCGGTGTGAGCCAAGGCTCCGTGTTGAAGACCGTACTTTGACCTATAATGGTTTACTTTTATAAATTGTGACTTGGATGGAGAGTTGTCTCATTTGCACTCATACCACATCTTCTTATATCTATAAGCAGTATTATCTTTAAATTTCTGTGATTTAATACCAAGAAAGAAAAAAATCCCGAAATTAATTTGATACTTTGATACTCAATATTTTTCCTGGAAAATATTCACATCTTCATTCGGTCTGAAAATAAGATAAGAAACTGGTATACAGAACATGCAGAAGTGTGAATGTCATAAAACCTTGTTATATCAGAAACCATTATAAATGTGAACCTGTATACGTAAGACCTCATGGGACAATGTACCTAACCACATACAGGTAATATACAAGTAGCTCTGTTATACCCGGAAATGTCAAGGTTAATCACTACCGATACAGAATGTACCAATGCAAAGTAAATTCTGATGATTGTGAAGCATGACCATTCATGATTTTAGAGGAGTATTTGGTGGGGGATTGTCGGAACGATTTAAATTCTGACTAGATTTTTTCTCAATTTAAATCACTGAACTAAAAAAAAAGGAAGGAGAAAACAACGTCCAAGAACAGAATTCTTCTTGTAAATTCATAAATACAACGTTCTTATTTTGTAACTTTCGATAGACTTGACCTCCCCCCCCCCCCACCCCCCCCCCCCCCCCTCAAACCTGGGAACATTATATCTAACAATGTTTATGTTCCTGCCCAAATAAAAAAAAAAAAGAAGAAAAAAAAAAAGAAAGGGATGAACCACTAGAGATGAACTGTAAGTCACATCAGATTCAGATATTTATATAGTTGATTGTCGTTAACTAGAGATGTATAGTTACATGTCTCTGTGTTAACTGATAAGAATAACAGGAAAGTATAAACTTGAAATAGATTTATGATGAATAATATGCAACTGCGGCACCCCTTTTTATCAAAGCGTACATGCATGTATTTTAATGACTGTCCGTTATTTCGATCATAATGACAATTGTACGTGAAATCCTATAGTTGGTGAGACTTTTTTTTTTACCAGATATGCGACTTTTCGTATTTATATTTTCTCTTATATTACTCTTATTTAATATTTTATGCATAAGTGCAATAGTGGGAATGGTTTATTCCCCCACAAGCTAACGTAATAAATTAATCAACCCTCAAGCTGATCAGACGTTAATACAACTACTATCAGTCTATCCGGAGTGAAGTTTCTTTATTTCTTCAAATAAACTTTTGGGGATCATTAGTGTACGTCCAGTGGCATATATATTACATGCATGTCAGAACAGGAAAATTGGCAAAAGGTTCTATTAGAACCATGTTCACATTAATATACATTATACCCAAAAATTGTGATGATGACGAATTTCTTCAACTGTTCGAGAACAATCTAATTGAAATATAAATCTGTGATTTTACTATGTCCATAACTTCGATGAACCAAAGCAAGTTAGATATCGACCTGTATTGAAATCAAATTGGTTCTAGATGTTCTTTCTTATATTCAATATACAATTTTAAATTGCGACTATCTATAGTTCCGTAACTTTCTATCTAGGCGTATAAACCAATGATCGACAAGTGCGTATTTTTTAAATCAATAGTTTTTCATGTTTCAAAATGTCCATCATTATTGACAACGAGTATATATACTTACATTTTCCCCAATTTACCCTTGGAAAAATATGTAAATAGATTTTTATTTTATCAAATCTTTTTTTGGAATTATTTAGATTTTCATAAATATCATTCTTTACACTAGAAATGTTATTTATAAACAAGCGTAAGAGTTTAGTAATGACTTGTATATCACTATCGGACACGCAAGACAAAGATGTATATTACACCTGATAGTTTTAAAATGGAAAGTTACAAGTTATCGGCCGTGTACACTAATCAATACCCTCAGAAGTGAAGCGATGCATGAACATGCTTTATGTAATTGTGTAATAAGAGTTTTTAAACCCGACAGGAAATCGCTTGAATACCTGGACGTGTCACCTCAAAATACCTCAGGGAATAATTCATTTAGCCATGCTGGTGATCAGATAAGAGAAGGTCCGAATTTATTCAAATAAGTTTATTACATAAAAGAATTATGAACAAATTAGATTTCCGAAAACGATTTTACACGGAACACTTATTTATGACTTTGAACTTTGACTTTTTAACTAATTCCCATATAAATTTTTTTGTTTCAAAAACTTCGTAAAGAATAAAACAGTTTTAAAACGACAGACCATAGTTATTTTAAAAAATAATTACATTTTCCGTATCAAGTTAGTTAGTCGGATAAATGCGACTACGTTAGGTTACTGCTGGTTTTGGTCCTTTGTGGTTTATAGATATATCGGGGTTTCTAAACCGAGAAGATGTCAAAATGGCCGCACGCAGAGAATTGATACTCTAAATTTAAAATCGATGGTGATCTCTTATCTAGCAGAATAAAACTTTAATATTTATGAATTTGTGCTTTTTTATACAGAATGGACATAATATCAATTTTTTATTTTTTTGCGAAGTTTCCCTTTAATATATGATTGAGTTATTTCCCTTTGAACCGAAATTGTCATTTTCAAATATTATTTTCATTGGATAATAATCTTTTTTTTATTAAAGGATATATTTCATTACATTACATTGTGTAGATAAAATTGTTGAAATTGATAGATAAGTTGCAGATCTTTATTTGTTTGTGACAAATGACAGAAACAATATTGGGAACTATTAGTTATATTTGTAAAGTTGATTACACTAAGTGTTTATAAATAATTTTCACTTGTTATCAGATAACAAAGCATCTGGTAAATATCTTATCACACAACTATAATTGGAGTGACAGATTTATTTGAAAATTTTCTGTTTCCTAAGTGTTGATGATGATAAGATCTTTAAGAAAGTACAAATTAAGTTTGAAATTTACTGTTCATTATTATTTTACATTTTGAAGATAATTTTAGATAACTCTTGTAGATTTAAGTAGATATTGTATTAATGATAAATGACATTTTGGATTTTTTTTTTTTTAGATGAACTCCTTTAAAAAATAAGATTAGATCGTCTTTGAATAAACATATATTGAGATTTCTGATTTTGAGCCCACTTTTCAAGCTGGTCGAAATCGGGGTCCAAAATTATACTGTGTTTGATTTCAACATACATTGAGTATATATAGAGTTCTCTGAAACGCTGAATCTAGACCTGTATTTATTTTCATTATTAATTAGATAATTCCACATTGAGGTCCAACGGGTCCCAAATTAAACTTATGTTTGATTTCAAAAAAAATTCGTGGGGTTCTTTTATATGCTGATTCTCACAATGTACTTTGATTCTGGATATTGGACCATAATAGGTAAATGTTCGATTTCCAATTTTTCAGTTCTTTGACCACATTTATTTTGTGTCACAAACCAATAATGTGTCAAATATTCAATCACAATCCAAATTCAGAGCTATTTTTAGCTTCAATGTTGAGTCATTACTTGTTCAACTGTTCAGGGTTCGACCTCTGCTGGAAAATCCGGTGTGCTGTCACTCTGACAGTCTCTTGTTATTTTTTTATTTACAATAAAAGTTTTCACATGCAATCAAGCCAATTAAGTCTAATATAAACAAAAGTTGTCATGTTTAAGTCTTTTTCAGATATTATTATAGGTAATATGTGATCTATATTTGGTGTATGGGGTGATTGTAAGTTCTACATGTCTTTGAAAGGATTCATCTGACCTTGACTCTATATTCATGGGTCATTGGCCAAAGTTACGTTTTTTGTGGTATTATCTATTTCTGTGATACTATTAGAAGTAGGTCAACTATTATTGTTGTATGTAATAATTGTAAGGTGTACATGTCTGTTTAGTAGGGTCCATCTGACCTGGAACTAATTTTCATGTTTCATTAGTCAATGTTCAATTTATATGGTTAGGTATGTTTTTGATAATATAAGCAAACGGCGAGCTATATTTGATTTATTGAAGGACTTTGTCTTTAAGACTTTATCATAAAATTCAAACATGATAGGTAAAACAAGTGAGACATTGTAGGGAGTGCACTCTTGATGTCTTTTTATAGGTAAAATATAAAATTATCTTTTTACTAGGTCTTCAATGTGGATAGTAAACATCATGTTTGCATGTTATATTTCTCATGTGTTTCACACTTGAAGCTCATAATTCACCATGTTTCGTGCAGATTGGGAACAAAACTTACATGTATCTATGTGTATGCCTAAACTACGATAAGAGAGGGGCATTATATCTTTGGTCTGTGCGTCTTTTCGTTCGTCCGTCCGTCCATCCGTTCATTTGTCTGTCCCGCTTCAGGTTTAAGTTTTTGGTCAAGGTTGTTTTTTATGAAGTTGAAGTCCAATCAACTCGAAACTTATTTTTATATTGAAATGGGAATTTTTGTCTGGTTCTTACGGACACATACAACTCTTTCTGATAATATACTAAATTATAGAATAAATTTGTATTTCTTTTTCAAAGGGCGTCTACCTTAAGATAATTATTGCTCTGTACAATGTTTAAAATTGTTAGGATATTTTTTTGTGTATATAGTTCTTCAAATGAGATTTAACAAATAGAATGATAAACAATTGGTTTAGCTATTAACACACACTTTTGTTTTTCTTTTATTTTTTAGGTTCATCATGTAAAAAGATGATAAAAACTTGTTCCGGTATGAATAGAGATGCACCAATATCATTTAAACCGTGCAAGTTTACCATTGGAATCAATACTTGGCCATTGACACATAATGATAGGTATGTAAATATATTATTGTAGGTACTTAAAACATGTTTTCCTCATCTTAATATGAGCTTTAGCTATTGCTTGATATCTTTCTATGGTCAACATTTTAAAATTCTTCTATGAAACCCCGAAACAATCGAAATAATATTGACTTGGTAACCTATAGTAGGCAGTTTATAATTTAGAATGTATCTTAAAAACCATAATAGACACATAAAATCTAGACGTGCAATTTTTATTAGAATGTCACGATCTATATACCATCTTTTCTAACAAAACTATCAGAACGCTCTTTAATGAACTTTTGTCGTTAAATGATAGTTTTTCAACTCCTAGAGTTTGTTGCAAGAAAATGAATCACAAGTTATATTACATGTCGATACATTGAAACTGTAATTGGCAAAACTTATCAACACTACACGGTCTACGAATATGATGCAATCCTATAATCATAAATTGACACCTTTTATGAGGAAAACATTATTTGTTTTTACCAATTTAATCACTTTTGCTTATTATTTTGAAAACTTTATTGGATAAGACAGAAATTGTTAACAGCAGAAATAATCAGAATTACAAGATCTACAAAAATGTCAATATAGAGTTAGATCACAATGTATCGCGTAATATTAAGAATAGAATATGTTCTTTGGACAGTATTAAAGGTTAATAGCATGGCCGTTTGCAGAAGTCGATATTTCCTCTAGTAGCGAATATTTTGAGACAATCATCCACTTTGTATTTTTTTAAACTGATAAAAATAGATATTAAAATCTATGTCTTTATATGCAATTTCCATTCTCAATTTTAATTATACTACCTTCTGTGTTTTTTACCACTTTGTCTGATATTTAGATTCATGGTCGAACTCTTTCGGTGTAATACAACCAATTCATAGTACGTCACATCCGGTTTCATACGAAAAAGTGTCGAAAAAATATTCCCTTGATTTTGACAGTTGTAGGAAATTAACCCTGCATTCCCTTGCCTTGAAATACGGATATCAAATTGAGAATGGAAATGGGGAATGTGTCAAAGAGACAACAACCCGACCATAGAGCAGACAACAGCCGAAGGCCACCAATGGGTCTTCAATGCAGCGAGAAACTCCCGCACCCGGAGGCGTCCTTCAGCTGCCCTAAACAAATATGTTTACTAGTTCAGTGATAAAGGACGTCATACTAAACTCCAAATTATACACAAGAAACTAAAATTAAAAATGATTCAAGACTGACAAAGGCCAGAGGCTCCTGACTTGGGACAGGCGCAAAAATGCGGCGGGGTTAAACATGTTTTTTGAGATCTCAACCCTCCCCCTATACCTCTAGCCAATATAGAAAAAACAAACGTACAACAGTACGCACAGTAAAACTCAGTTTAAGAGAAGTCCGAGTCCGATGTCAGAATAGGAAACAAAAGAAAATAAACAAAATGACAATAATACATAAATAACAACAGACTACTAGCAGTTACTGACATGCCAGCTCCAGACCTCAACTAAACTGATTGAAAGATTATGTCTTCATCATATGAATATCAGGCACAATCCCTCCTGTTAGGGGTTTAGTATTATACCATCATAAAATATATGAGAAGAACATAACCCGTGTCATGCCAACAACTGGTTTTAGAATAAATATGTTTAACCATGAATATGATTAGGCCATACTTATGATCCTTTTGTCCTATATTGGACTATACAAGAAAACTGTTTACCAAGTAGTTCTTTAATTGATTAATAGATTGTTGGTTGCTTAACGTCCAGTAGCAAATATTTCATGCATATTCAGGACTATATAATTCTTTACGAAATATACAGAAATAAGTAAATGAAATGTTTTTTGAAGGAGTAACAATAAATAATTTACTGAAAGGGAACCATTTTATGTCATTCTCCAAAACGCGGCATAAATATAAGTTTTACGTAAGGACTTATTGAAACCTCTATGGAGTCAGTAAACTTTCATATGGATAGTTAATTCAGCTTGAACACTTCAAATACTCATTTATTATCCCATTTCTTACATTTTTATGTGAAAGTTTCACCAAAATTTATAAGCCTTAAAAGTAAACATTTTCAGGGAATGAGAGGTATAAATGGACCAATCGCTGTAGATGTCGTCTTATGTTATATTGGATTTCTCTCAAACTATTGAACTGATTATTACAAAACTTAACAGTAATGGTAGAATAACCAGTATTTCACAGAAAATTAATCACATTAATTGTATTCAACAAAAATGTCTTCTTTATAAATTGGAAGCTGCATATGAATATTTTTCTAAAGAAAGTATGATTTTACAAAGTTTTGCAGCTTTGAAAATAACTTCATAATTGTCTGAGTAAAATAAACAGCATGACATTAATCAATATATGGATTTGGAGTGAATTCTTTTGACAATAACATTTTCCTCTTGTTTTTGAAATGATAACATTGAAATAAATAATGAAATTTGTCACCTAATAAGTTACAGTCACAAATATCACAAATTCTATCATCTCTTGCTATTCCCAAAAACCTGCCCTTTTCACCTTTAAAATTACATAAAGATTTCCCTAAATCTGTAGGACGTTCTATTAAATATTTTTCAAAACAATGTTTTCTTTTAAAAATAATATAATTGAGACATTTATGTATCTCATACGCAGTAGCACACCATTTTTGATTACATTGGTCACATAACCTCAGCGTTACAATCATGCAAAGGTTGACAGATAAATACACAATTTGAGTTAACCAATATTCAGAACAACTACATTTATTTAGAGTGTGTTCAACACCACGTATCCATTCTGAATGGTACATATTTCTGTTACGCATGGTGTATATAATTTAAACAAAATAAAGGAAATCTTATCTTGCTTACTGCACAAGAAATTTTTCCATACACCAATCATCCTAATTTAGATAAATACATCAATAGGATATCTACCTAGTTCTCCATATATAATACAATTTGGAGTTGACTTCTCTTAACATTTAAAAAAATCTTATAAAACTGCAAGAATACAGATTCAACAGTATTATTTTAACTATAACCCACACTTCACACCCATATAGCAATATAGGTGCTACCATTGTGTTATACACATTCGTAATTGCAAATCAATATGTATTCATAGACTTCTTCATTTTCGTAACATACTATACATGGCTTTTCTACCTTGTTCTAACTTTTTGTTCTGGTTATTTTGAAAGAACCGTTACACGTTAATATAATATATAAATAAGCTCAAAATTTAATTTTGTGAACAAAATTACAATTTTATATAAGCCCCTCTCTCCCCTTTTGCATTGGAAAATCCCTATTTTTAGGCAAAGGCTCATATGAAATTGACTTTTGAAGAACTGTTATAAATCTGATATATCAAATGAGTTTTCAGCTGTTTTATAGATGCTATATTATATATAAAGGTATTTAAAAAGCAATTTTTTGCAATATTTAAATTTTTAGGTCCAAATCTTGATAGTTGAAATTGTTCGATATAGACGTTATAATAACACCCAAAGTTCAAATATAAGAGTTACCATATGGTCTTTAATATATATATTTTATTGTCGTGAAACTTGGTAAACAGTCTTATATTTCACTTATCTAAGATCATGGCAAGTTTTATTAAAATTGTTCAAGTCTTTCTAAGAGATGAATTCAGTAAATGTAGATTCTTTACTTTTGCAACTTCTCTAAATAATTTGAGGGTATCAACTTGTCAAGCTGAATGAAAGCAAATGAAGTTCATATTCTTAGGTGTTTCCACTTTTCTGTGGAAAGACCTTTTGATTTTGTTCTTATTTTTATTTTTTTTTCTTCTTCTGTCAAACCATTTTCTTGCCAAAGAAAGTCGTTTCGCAAGATGTTGCTTAGACATTTTGGATATTATATCGAAGAGTTATTGCGCTTTTAAAACTCGCCCTTTTTAGTGGGAGACTGTTTGATTGTAACAGCTATCTCCCCAAACAGTGTTTTTCGTGTTATTGTCATAACAAAAAAAAGATAACTACAACATTTTGGCTGATTTGGATCGAAGCGATCCAGTTAAATCTTAAATGAGTTATCTACCTTCAAATGTATCGTAATGCTTTTGTATCTCATAAACCATGAGTCGTATCATCCTAGAGTCATTTCATTTTAGGTCCTTAATTCCTAACTTAAAAAATGAGGACAAGGTTCTCAATTTTGACATTTGCTTGCTTTTGCATTTTCTCTGACACTTTTAAGGTTATATGTAAAAGAACAAGTGCAAAATGTTTGCCTTATTGTGATAAATTTGGTATAAAACAATCCAATGACATGTTATAGAGTTATTGCCTCTGAAGTGTTTTATCTTAGGTTAAATTGATTATTTCTTCAGATTGGTACATGATAAAAACATAAGGTCTTTTGCAAAATGTTGGTTGGCAGATGCCTATGGAAATTGTCAACCGGAAATGTCCTTGAGTAAACCGGAAGTAGTATTTTTTGCACTTATTTCATGGAAAAATACCTTGAAACCATATATTATTTCAATGATCATACATAAACCTATCATGAAAGTGACATTCTGTTTACCGGAAGGAGCCAATTATCTTCCTTATTGCAGGCAAAAGTATTTACAAACTATATGTATTTATAATCAGTGTGAATAAAGCTATCATATGAGACCGAAGTGACATTCTCTAAACCGGAAGAAGCCATTTATCTCTAATTTTACAGGCAAAAGTATACAGAAACCATATATTTTTGGAATCAGAATTAGTGTCAATACAGCTATCATATGTGATCGGTAGTGACATATTCTAGACCGGAAGTTGGCAATTATCTCCCTTATTACAGGCAAAAGTATATAGAAACCATATATCTATTGACTCAGTATGAAGAAACCTATGCTTTGACGTCAATAGTAACTTAAGTAAAACGGTTTAGAAAATTGATATGGAAAGACCTTTGATTGTTCTCTGAGCAATTGGTTTTTAATTTGACAGAAATTCTGTAAAAATGTCCAATATTAGAGTTAAATGGCTTAAATATGCACTTTTAAGCCACCATTTCCATTTGTACATGTTGTATGCCTGATGTTAAAGCTGACTTTCTATTTGATGGGTTTTTATGTTTTGATATTTGTTTTTCTAGCTATATAGGCTTAATTCAAGTTCCCATAATCATTGTGAACCCTGAATCTTTAGAAAATAAGATTATCACAGAACAAATGTGCAAATTGAGTTGTATTTAGGGTCCTGCAACGATTTTTGTACCTGTTTCCTTTTATATGACATTTTTTACTTGTGTAGGATAGTAATTGGTTCAAATATATGCCTGTTGAGACTCAAATTGCATGCAAGTTTTCCACTGAAAAATTAAAAAAAAAATTTGCATCAGACTATACTGTTTCCAACGAAAAATTGTATGCATAAGTTCTATTGCACCCAAAATAATTGTATCATGTCACCTCAGCATAGAAATGACCAAGAGGAAACACATTTCCATTTATAGCTTATGTATGCATTTTTATATGTAAATATGTGTTACCGCCTTAATTGACCCCAAATTAATTTAAGTCTTACATGGCCAAGGAGCACTTTATACTCATGTGGTAAACTATTTGTATTATTTCTTTCCAGTTAAAGTACATTAAATATATATGAATGAATTATCTATAGCAAAATACTTCACAAAGTTAAATATGGTGGACAAAATTACAATTTCATAAAAGCCCCAAAGCCACCCCCGCCCCTCCCCCATTCATTGAAAATCTCTTATCTTCAGGCACAGGCTCATATCAATTTGACTTTTGAAGAATTGCAATAAATCTGAGACATCAAATGAGTCTTCACCTGCTTTAAATACATGCTACATCATATATTAAGGAATTTAAAAAAGCAATTTTTTGCAATATTTTAATTTTGTAGGCCCAAATCTTGAAAGTTTAAATTGTTCGATTTAAACGTCAAAAATAAAAACCCAGAGTTCAAACATATTAAGAATGACAAGTTTGTCTTTAATATATATTCCATTGCCACGTAACTTGGTAAACTGTCCTACCTTATCATGCCAAGTTTTATTAAAATTGGTCTAGTCTTTCTATCCATTTTAGTCCCCTTGCAAATAGTTTTTATACAAATATATTTCTTTATATTTTATGGATAAAACAGATGAAATTACATGTAAAACAAAATTGGGGCATGAATTTTTAGGTGAAGTAGTGAGTTTGTTCTGTTTGAAAAGGTAAACAAAGGAAGAGATATATACTGCTGATAAAAATAACTAGCAAAATAAGATCTGCATGGTCTAACATGACCAAAATCACCAACTATCACCTTATAGAAGATATTACCCTTTGTTACATTTTTTAATATTATCTTGAATATATAATTAAATAGATAAGTTTGTGGTCCTAATATCCATAAACGTCCAAGGTGAACAAACAGAGCCTTTCGTTGTCTTAGTCTTTTTGCATAGCTCATTTAAGTGTTCTGTACTTTTTGTATTGTGAGCCGTCAGAGAGATAGAATAAGAAAAGCTTTCTTTATTACTTTATCGTGTTTGCAGATAGATGTTTCTCTTCATTAAAAGGTATATTAATTTTTCAGAGTAGTTGCTGAATTTTCATCTACAAATGGAGGATATGTGACTGTGGCTAACCGGGATAAAAGCCAATCTGATTCTGAGACAGATAAATATTACTATTCTGGTAAAACTCTCACAAGGCAGTTTGAGTATCGATGGGACTTAGAGAAACCGTACCATTGTTCTGAAAAGCCAGGATCGCCATGTACACCATTTCTAGATCTTTCAGAAGATATTACTGAAAATGTAAGTGATGATTATAGAGCAAGTATTTATGGTGCAGCATATTATAAGAATGATATTTCCTTCTAAATATTTGAATTTTAGAAATAAAAAACCATTTGTCTAATAATATCCTTTTACCTATTCATGAAATGATTTTTAGAAGTGTATATCCATGGAAGTATAATTATACCCCACGCAAATTTTTTGCGAAGGGTATAATGTTTTTGACCCGTCCGTCCTTCTGTCCGTCCGTCTGTCCGTCCGTCAGTCCATCAGTCCTGTTTCTTGTCATCGCAACTCCTCTCAAACCACACAACAGAATTTCATGAAACCTTTTTAGATAATAAGGACATACTATGTAGATGTGCATATCGACAGAAGATTACGATTCAATTTTTTTTCTAGCAGTTACGCCCCTTTGAACTTATTTGCTTCAATGTACTACTGCAACAGTTTGTCATTGAAACTCCTGTGAAACCACACAACAGAATTTCATGAAACTTTGTAGATAATAAGGACATACTATGTAGATGTGCATATCGACAGGAAATTACGATTCAAATTTTTTTCTAGGAGTTGAGCCCCTTTGAACTTATTTGCTTAAATGTACTACTGAAACAGTTTGTCATCGCAACTCCTCTCAAACCACACAACAGAATTTCATGAAATTTTGTAGATTATAAGGACATACTATGTAGATGCGCATATTGACAGGAAATTATGATTCAATTTTTTTTCTATGAGTTACGCCCCTTTGAACTTATTTGCTTCAATGTACTTCTGCAACAGTTTGTCATCGCAACTCCTGTGAAACCACACAACAGAATTTCATGAAACTTTGTACATAATAAGGACATACTATGTAGATGTGCATATTGACAGGAAATTATTATTCATTTTTTTTTTCTTACACATATTTTATTTCTCCAATGACAATGTGGGGACGTGGGGTATGTGAGCGCGCTCACTAAGGTTCTTTAATATTGACTTTCATTTTACTTCCATGGTATAACTAACTTACACACAATGCTACACCCTATGTTTGTTTACATTGAATATTAAATGGAAAAGAATGGATAGCATTTTTATTGACAATATCAAACCTTGATTAATACGCAAAAAAACGTTTTTTTTTAAATGAATCCCCACTAGTAACCTTTCTTTGACAAGTGAGTAAATTTTACATATGTCACAATTGCTGTTTTGCATTTTCCCGTTAAATCCATGTGCTAATATGGACCAGCAGGTCAAGGTTGGCCGTATCGTGCATTTTTATTCCAAAAAAATAACATTATCCGCCTTCTTTTCAGTTGTGAATATGGACGGGTACGAGACGGACGAAATTTTGAGTTCAATTCGGTAGAAGAGACTGAAGATAACGCAATATTAATAACCCAAAGTACTTCCATGTATCAATTTAATGAAGGCAATCATAAATGTCTTTTACAAAAAGTCCCCACCCCCTTCTTAACATTAAAGTAACATTCATATTCGAACATACTGAGGGATAGGTGTTTCTGGATTAGAAACCAGTCGAACGGATACACTTAACATACAAAAATACAGATTGCATATGTAGGAACTCCTCCTTTTTTGGGACCATCCAGGGGGTCCAGGGATTGGAACCCCACTTTTTCTAGTATCAATGCTTTCGAATGGGGACATATGGTTAGAACCCCCATCCCCTTTATCCCGGGTTGGGACTCACTTTTAAAAATGCCTGGATCCGCCCCTGAGTACCATCATTTGTCTTCATCTATCCAAACATTAATAGTACTAGAAACACACCCGAGAAATCGCGGGCCTTCAGAGCGTGGTTGAAAGTATGTCAACTGTTTTATAATGAATTTTTGTAAAACATTTTATGTTTCAGGAAAGGTACCAAAAGTCGAAGGTATTTGGGGGATAGGAAATTTTTTTTTAGCCTCCACCTTTATTCCAAAGTCCGTATTTTTTTTTCGTTTTCTGTTGATTTTAATTTTTTTCGTGTTTTTCCGTATACTTTGAACATACATATACTATAAATGAAGTGTATTTGCTATTTGCTATCAATTCCAAGTGTACTATCCGCGGCGGTCACTGATATATTATATAGAAACTCTCTATATATTATATCAATGACCGCCGTGGATAGTACACTTGGAATTGATATTACAAAGCAAATACACTTTATTTATAGTATATTTTTTATCATAGTATACAGAAAAACGCGAAAAGAATTGTCCTGTTCCCAAGTTCTTAATCCTAAATGGAAGTCTTGTCTTTGACTTAAAAGTTCGTCCGATGACTGAAACAATTTATTTTCTTTTTCTTCCCAAAATAACCCAAACTGAATAATCATAAGCGAGGGTGACAAATGCGACTTTGCATGGTACATATAGGACACAAAGGTATGATGATTAATTAATTGTGGAAGGAAGAGAAGCGACATTCAAAATGAGGTCTTCCCATTTAATAGTATAAATTCTGGCATTTAGACTTAGTCCAAATGAATAGTATATGTTTTTAATGTATAATTCAAATAAAAGTTCTTTACATGTATGTTTTTTAAGACATTGCCATATGGGATTAAGATTTTAGCTTCTAGCAAAGGAGTATTTAACTTTTTTTTTATTCAAGATAGATGCTAAATATTTTTTTCGCTACTGGAATTTCATGAAATATGCTGTTTTTTTTATATGTCTTGAAACAGCCAGTACTGAACACTAGACGAAATTTCTTCTGTTCATGCTATTAAAAAAATGTCTATTGTCAGAAATAATAATGGACTGTGTTTTCGGTATTACATCCCAGCTCCTTTGTTCTACCAGGGGTGATCTGAGACGCGTCACCCCTACCAGATCACCCTAACTTGATTTTTTTTGTTTTGCATGCTTTAGTAAGTGTTCTACTAATAATCTATCAGTGCTTCTAACTACCTCTCTTACTACTATCAAAGAACGTATTTTTAAGTTTTGTAATAAAGCTTATGAAAATAATGGTATTAATTATTTTTGGAGTGTTAAAAATTCTTTAGAGGTTTTAGGTAACATTCATGCTTTTGATGGTCCTTTTTATTTTGTTGACAGTTATGATTTTTCTACTCTCTACACTACACTTCCACACAATCTTATCAAGAAAAAGTTTTCATATTTAAGCAAATGGTCTTTTGAAAAATCTCATTGCAAATTTATTTGCTGTAACTCATTTAAAAGTGGGGTTCGTGTTGCTTAGTCTTTGGTTTTCTATGTTGTGTCATCTGTACTATTATTTGTCTGTTTGTCTTTTTTTTGGCCATGGCGTTGTCAGTTTGTTTTCGATCTATGAGTTTGACTGTCCCTCTTGTATGTTTCGTCCCTCTTTTAAAGCCTTTATTTTGTAACGAAACAGGAAAGTATGCTAGATACATTTACTGGAAATGTAAAGATATGATTGAAGCTTTAAATTTTCTCCTGGACAACATGTATGTACGTTTCGTCGATAAAGTGTATCGACAAGTAGTATGTTTTCCTATGGGCATTGACTGCGCGTCTTTAATAGCAGATTTATTCCTGTATTGCTATGAATCTCAGTTTATGACCAAACTCAGTGAAGACACGTCATTGTTACATTTTGTTGATACAGTCAACAATACCTACCGTTATCTGGATGATATTTTTTCGTTAAATAATCCAGAGTTCTATAAATATAATACCGAAATTTACCCAAAAGAACTTACTATAACGAAATCCAACATAAACAGCAGTAGTTGTCCTGTTCTAGATTTAGATATTTCAATTTCTAAAGGGAAACTCCATACTAAAATTTACGACAAAAGAGACAATTTTTCATTCCCTATTGGTAATTTTCCTTTTTAGACGGTATTTTTCCTTTGGCTCCATCATACGGTGTTTATATATCCCAAATCGTTCGTTATGCCCGTGTGTGTAGTAATTTCAAAAATTTTAACAAACGTAATCAATGCATCGCTAGTAAATTATTAAGTCAGGGATTTCGTTACCATAAATTACTTAAAACTTTTACTAAATTCTTTCATAGATACAAAGATTTGATTAGTAAATTTGGCTGTACCTGTAGAAAACTTATTAAAAACGGTATTTCACATTCTAAATTTTACGGTAATATTGTACTAAAAGCGCGGAAATCATTATGTGATCCGTGTAAACTCATTGAACCTTTTAACAAACGTATCAGCAAAGGTTATCTTACCAATGCTGTAATTAGATCTTTGAATATAGTTTACATTGGCACTAATATCGATTTTGTCATCAGCAAATTAAAACATTTGTATTCTTTTCAAACGGGATGTATAAAGACACACCCACGTTCATTTTTATCTATTAAGAGGTCTAACTATCCTACTGCCTGTCGATACATTTATTTTTGGCATTGCACAAGTCATGTTTTCTTTGACTGTCCATGACGTTAAAATACTAAATCCCTGGGATGTGTTTTTGTTGATTTTAGTCTCTGATTTTTTATTCTTAATTTTTTAGTCTTTTAACTAGCTGTCTATTACTGCGAGTATTCTCAAATCGTACTTTCTTGTTAATTTGACCTATTGATACTATCTGTAATGCTTTTTTGTTATATAATGTTTACTTATTCAGTGTTATATCTGGTCTATACCAGCTTTGATAAGTGTTTGGTATTACTATAGATTACAGTAGTTGTCGTCTGTTTATGTACTTCATACGTGTTTCTCGTTTCTCGTTTTTATATAGATTAGACCGTTGGTTTTTTCGTTTGAATGGTTTTACACTAGTAATTTTTTTGGGGCCCTTTATAGCTTGCTGTTCGGTGTGAGCCAATGCTCCGTGTTGAAGGCCGTACCTTGACCTATAATGGTTTACTTTTAAAAATTGTAACTTGGATGGAGAGTTGTCTCATTGGCACTCATACCACATCTGCCTATATCTATTTTCACTTCTTTGTAATATGAACATCAAAATTATTTATTTTTTTTTAAAACAAAAATAACGTCCTTTCTCCTTTTAAACTGTATACATAACAACAAAAATTATTTTCATATTTTAAATAGT